TTTTTTTTTTTTTTTTTTTTTTTTTTTTGGGAGAGATCCAAATGACATTTTTCATTCATATGCTAAAGTTTTTTTTTGGCATTATTAGTGACTTTATTTTCAATTTCAGACCTTCATTTTTTTTCTTCTTCTAACATGCTGATTCAGGCTGTTATAAATAGAACACACAAAATTATGGAATTTCATGGAAGAATCTCTTCACTTCCTAAAACTCACTTTCCCATTAATTGATGACCTCTCTGGGAAATGTCAGAAACTGAATGACACTCGTGTTAGGACTTGGAGTGCATTTTAATTATTTTCCTTTATACTAATCAACTGAAGTGTGTGTCATACTGAAGTTGCATGTTAGTTCTTGATCTAGCAAATTTTGGCTACTTGAAATAATTTGTCGTTATTAAGTACATTGGACAATTGTGCATGTAAATGATCATTCTCTGGGTTAACTCTCCTGTGTGGTTTGCGAGCTATTGCATAGGAGAGGGGTTTTTACCCTATGCGCACACAAAGGGTAGTGGCTGCGGATTCCCCTTGTCATAAAAAAAATGTAAATGATCATTCCCTTGTTTGTGCTTCTGTTCATTCTGTAGAATTGTGTTCTTAGTCTTTTTTGGAATCTAATATTAAGTCATCTCATGTGTTTCTGTACCAACTTTGAGTGAGATTCAATTCTCTCATCTCTTTTAAGAACAAAAGTTTTCTGGACTCTCACTGATGTCTATTTTGTGGAACTTTAGAATATGAGGTAAGAGAGAAGCCTACTTTGAGCACATGGATGCAAGGTGGATTAGACTACATAATGTTGCAGTATATGAATATAGATGGTATCCGAACCATTGGCAGTGTTCTTGGTCAAAGTATAGCTCTTGATTATTATGTTCGCCAAGTAAGTGTCTTCCAACTTATATGTGATCAGCCTGAGAAGGTTCTTAGTTGTAGTAACTTTCTGACTGGTATCCTCTGCCATTCCAGGTTGATGGAATGGTTGCTGAGTTTACGGACATCAATCGTGGAATGGAGAAGACTGGAACTTTCACAATGGAGAGAAAAAAGCTTTTCCAACTGGTTGGCAAGGCAAATTCTAATCTTGCTGATGTGATTCTTAAGCTAGGACTTTTTGAAAGGTATATTTGCATCTATTTAGCTATGTCATGAATTTCTTTATTTCTTCTTCCTTTTTCTGTTTCCCTATTATATCAATATTGTGATTTGGAAGAGTATGGTATAGAAATTAACTTTTTCTATCTGGGAACTAGGAAACTTTTGTAAAGTGGAAGTGGCCTGGAAATGTGCTTTGTTTTTTCTAATACTTGTTATTATTTCAATCCAAGAACTGGGGGCCGTTTTTATGAGAAACAGAAGTTAATTGTTGCACCCCAATTAGTCATTCAAGTTCTGGAAAAAGTTTGTCGTGTCTGCTCTTTCAATCTTTCTACTTTTATAGTTGAATTCTTTTTTTGAAACTGGTAAGGTTGTATTCTTCAGTATTAAGTATTAAGGGCATGCTGGCCACCTCCAAAATGGAATATTATCAATTACAAGTCTCCTATTTGTCTACTATCTGATCTATATCAACTATACACAATTGTTTACACCAAAAAAGTAAGGATTCAATGCAATTCCATTCCACTTTATGAATGAAATTGGGCCTATCCTCAAAAATTATACCACTTCTTTCCAGCCATACTGACCACCATATGCATGATGGAACTAATCTCCACCATTTCTTCTGACTCTTACTACCTCCCCTCCTAATCCAACTACTTAATAGATCTGACGTGTGCTCTGGCATGGTCCAGATGTAACTTGTTATGTTGAGGAAGAGATTCCACAACTGAGTAACTGAAGCTGCAACGTAGGAAGAGATGCTTGTTTGTCTCCCCTGTAGTGTTACGCACAAAGCACCTAGGAACTAACTGTCTCCCTTTCTTCTACAGAACTTCTTGAGTTAGACATGCCCTCTTAATCACTAGTCAAGTAAATCATTTTACCTTGGTGGGGATGATACTTTTCCAGAAATAGTTCCAATGGTAGAGAGTACCCCCCC